GGGGGGGGGCTGGAAAGTAGGGGGTAACTGCAACGGGGTGCGGTGCGAATGGGAGGTGAGGGTGGGATGCAAAGCGGGGTGCAATGCAAAGCGGGGCATAACTTTAAGGAGGGGTGCAAGGACGGAGAGGGTGCTGGAAAGCAGCGTGCAGCTGCAAGGGGTGCAGTGCAAATGGGAGGTGGGGAGGTGCAAAGCAGGGTGCAGCTGCACAATGGTGTGCTGTGAAGTGGGGTGCAGCTGCTATACAGCTTTAAGAGGGGGTTAGGGGTGAAAGGACAAAGGGGGGTGTGCTGGAAAGCAGCGTGCAGCTGCAGAGTGCAGTGGAAATGGGGGGTAAGGGGGGTGATGTGGGGTAGGGTGTGCTGAAATGCAGTGTGCAACTGCAAGGGGTGCAATGGGAATGGGAGGTGAGGGGTGCAATGCAGTGCGGGGTGCAGATGCAAAATGGTGTGAAGTGGGGTGCAGCTGTGAAGTGGGGTGTGCTGAACTGCAGTGTGCAGCTGCAAAGGGTGCAATGGGAGGTGAGGGGTGCAGTGCAAAGTGGGGTATTACTTTAAGGAGGGGGTAAGGGGTGCAAAGACAAATGGGGGTGCTGAAAAGCAGCATGCGACTGCAGTGAGTGCAATGGGAATGGGAGGTGAGGGGGGGATGCAAAGCAGGGTGCAGAGCAAAGCAGGGTACAGCTTTAAGGAAGGGGTAAGGGGTGAAAGGACAAACGGGGGGGCTGCTCAAAAGCAGGGTGTAACTGCAAGGGGTGCAGTAGGAAAGGGAGGTGAGGAGCGTGGTGCAAAATGGAGCGCAGTGCAAAGCAGAGTGCAACTGCAAAGCGAGGTGCAGTCTGCAAAGAGGAGAGTGAGGGGTGCAGGAGCACGGCGGGAGGTGCTGAAAAACAAGGTGCAACTGCAAATGGGGGCTGAGGGTTGCACTGCAAAGCAGGGCTGCACAGGGGTGACGTGCAGTGCAAAGCTGGGTGCAGCTGCAGAGGGGTGCAGAGGTGCAGTGCAAAGCTGGGGGTGGGGGGCTGCAGTTGACCCAGAGCAAAAAGTTATGGTGAAACAGTGCAAGGACAGGGAAGTACAAACGTTTCACTAGAAGCCTGCTCTAATGCTAGAACAGCAGAAAAAAAAGAAGCAAGGATGTTCTCTAGCCTGAGCTATGCGTAATTAGTGATAAGCTCTCCTGGGTGGAGATCTGACATGATAATGAGCAACCACCTGAGGTTAATGAGCTGGCACCCAGCTCGCGCACGCGTGTTGCTGAGGAGTTAAGTAACAGAAAGAGAGGCAGTGGATGATCCCATGCCTGCCTAGGCTGGCACCCAGCTCTGGGCGTGCTCTTGCTTTGAGAACTGTTGCCTGGCACCCAACTCTGCAAAGACCTGAAATAAAAGTTAACCGGTGCACTTCAGCTCGGTTTGCTCGTGGGTTTTAGGGCACTGGGTGTGCAAGCAGCCCTCACTGTGGGACGTGGAGAGTGCAGCAGCGGGGTGGGGTTCAGCCGAAAGGTGCGCAGAGGAGAGGTGTGCCATGCTGTAAGCATCAGAGGGAAGTGGGGCGCAAGGTGCTGGGGTGCAGAGCAAAGGCGATGTATGTGGAGGCTGTGCTGGGTGCGAGGGCCCAAAGGGCTTGAATGCAAAGTGCAAAAGGAAGGGGGAGAAAGGGGTCTGGGCGCAGGCCCAGTGGGTGCTGCTGCTGGAATGGTGCAGCAGGGTGTTACAGCATGACACCATGCCCTGCAGCATGGGGCTGCAGACACTGCAGAGAGAGAATGCGTGGCTCTGCAGAGCACTGGGAGAGCGCAGCAGCTGCTCAGAGGGGAACGGGGCAGAGGGGTACGCAAAGCTGCTGCCAGCGGGGACAGAACTGGTGGGCATTGGCTGCTATTCTGGGCCAGCAGGCTGCTGTAACCCCATCTGTGCTTGCTGTGCCCTTCGTCCCGGTCAGCAGCGTAGTCTGAGTCACCAGGAAATCTGAGAAGGTTCTACTAAAAGCTCAGGCGTAGCACGGGGGGTTGCTCAGCCCTGCCAGCCTGATTTCTTGGCTCTGTTGTGCTCTTCCTGAGCGTCACTGCTGTGACTGGAACTCACAGAGCTGGCGGGAGATTTGAGCAGATTTAACAGCAAAACAGGCAACGAGCCTTTGTGAGAGATGCACTCCCTGACCCTCGGGGACATTTGGTGTGGGAAACACGCGGGTTGTTGGCATGGCAGCTGAAACTCCAGAGCTTTGGCAGGTTACTCCTGCTGCTTTACATCAGCGATGTTCCCGTTGATGGCATCAGTTCCCAAAGTGCTCGGGGAAGGCTGCAGGAAACGCCGACGTTTGTCCTCTGGCAGAGCTGGGCAGGAAGTGTTGCTGGTGGAAATAATCAGCGTGAGCCCTCCGTTAACGGGAATCACCAGCTAGGTGTGTCAATTCCTTTCTTCCAGGTCTCGGCAGTCAAATTAATCTGTTTTACCAATTAAGTGCAAAATCCAGAATGTTCCTCGTTTCGAGAGAGCTTCTTTATATCTGGGTGAGAGGCCTGGCCGAGATGGCAGCCGTTCATCTGCCTTTCAGCTGGAGCAGGACTGCAGCAGGAGCTCGCGCACAACCGCACGCTTGTTCAGGAGCAAACACTGGCCCTGGTTCTCTTCCACAAACAGGGAAGAGAAGCAAAAACTGGTACAGTGTCGCCTTGAAATAACAGGGTTGGATTCTTCCACCTCCTCACGCCTGGGCTGAGCAGCACTCGTGGTGGGTTGGCACCAACTGTCCGGCACACGGCTGTTATGTGATGCATCAAACTGACTGCTTGCTACTTTGCTGCTTGGCTGCACTGTGCAGACAGAGGCCTTTCAACTCACTGCACGCCCTGGGAATGATTGAAATTGGTGCAAATTCATGACAAAGAGGAAAGATGTTCCTGCTTCTCCCCCATCGGGATGCAGAGACCTGGAGATTCAATCTGTTTTCCAGAGTAAATCGGCCAACGCTGCAGTGCTGTGCTGTTGGCAAACGTCCACATATCCAAATATCCACCAGCCTTGGTGGATTTTTTTTTCAGCTCGTGTGCTATGGGAGCAGCCCACTTACCTGCAGTTTTATGGCCTGGCTGAGATGCTCTCTGCGAGTCGTGGAACTTGCACAAGAGAGCATAATGAGGCTTAAGCTGCTTAGCCTGCAAAAGGAGAGCAATGCAGCTGCATGAGAGGGCAGACAGAGCTTTAATCAAGCAAATTATATAAGTCCAATATATATAAGTCCAATCAAACAAATTATATAAGTTATAATACACCAGAGCTTGTTGTATCTCAGAGAGCAAAATCACACCCTGTGGATACAGCTGCCTCCATATCTAACATCATAATTGTCTTCCCTGGAAAGACAAACGTCCCTGGAAATGCATTCCCCTCTTTCCTCCAAGCAGCCGTGCAATGGGCCCCTGCTTGCTCTGACCCCACCTCCTCCAGGCTATGGAAGCACTCCTTCACAACCCAGCACACCCAACACAGGACCCAGCACATGCCTGCAGTTGTGCTGACACACAAGTCATGCAGAATTCTGTGCTCTTATTGATAGAGCTCTGCTGTTCCGTCGTACCTTTGATCTGAATATTTCCCAGCAGACATTAATCATCAAAAGGTAAACATCATTTATGCTGTGCAGGGAGGTAAAGCCAGGCGGGCACACAAGAAGAAGGAAAGTGTTTGCTGTAGGTTTTCACAAAGAAACCAGGAACACAAACCTTGCTGGCTGAAGGCCACATGGGCTACAAAGCAGCTTTTACACATTTATAGTCTATTTCTCCATTAGACCCTTTCTTTCTCATCTGTGTATTTATTTGATGAAGACTAACTCAGCACCACCAGCTCCGTGTTTGCACTTTGTTCCCTCATCCCCTCTTCCAACTCACATGTGGCTGAGCAAAATGGATGAGCATCAGGCTTTCCCTGCCACGTGATTTTCTTTTTCCTCTGATCTGTCAGCAAAGGGAAGTGGGAAATAAAGGATGCATGCCATTACATTTCATTTCAGCTGCTCTATTCGAGCCACTTCCACCTGCAAACAAATCCTGGTCCAGCTCCAGCTGGTCAGATGTCTGCAGCACATCGTGCAGCTTCTCTCTCACAAAGCCAGGCTGCTGTCTGTGAGCCTGCACACGTGTGCTCTGACTCCTTCACTGCGGCATGCGGTGCAAGCTGAACTTTGTCATTATTTTTCTAAAGTTTTATATATATATATAAGCACACTGAACTTTTCTGTGTAAACTGAGAGCAGAAAGGGAGTTCTGTATTTATAGCCAGCATTAAGCAGTGCCTTCTATCTGACTTAAACTTCTTTCCCTTCTGTGCTGTAGGCAGAACAAGCGCAGTGCGCAGGCAGTTTTACCCCTTGCTCTCTTCAGGCTGAAGATCCAGCAGCCCTGTGCCATGAGGTTGCTCTCTGAGGTGTTTATACGGCTCTGGGAGCACAGTGCCTTGTTTACATTCCCCACAGTGCTTCCAGTTCCCTCTGTGGCTGCAGTGAGCTCCTTAGACTGCCATGCAGAAGCAGCAGCTCCCCTCAGCTCCCTTCCATTTCGGTTATCTCTGTCACCAGCTCTGGAAAAAAAAAAAAAACAACGAAGCCTCCTCTGCCCCAATTTCCTCTCCACTTCCATGTCAAGGGCATCTGCAGCCTGCCTGGTTTGTGTGGAGCTCCAGGTCCCCGTGAGGATGGCATCTGAGAAAAGAAGATAAAGCCCTGCCGTAGGGTGGTGGAATGGACACCAATCGTTATTTGTTTAATTAAAAGAGTCTGGACAGACGCAAAGGCAACAATTAATTATCTTCTGTAAGAACTCTGACCACAGCTAAAGAAATTAATGGCTTGTGAGATGGAGGCGAATCATTGAGGCTAACGGTCGATCTGTCGTTCACACGGCGAGGCGTGCGGGGAATTCCTCCATCCTCCCCCTGATGCAAAAGGGCCCTTTTGTGCCATTCACACCACGGGGGAGCAGGGACTCACTTCTGGGGTTACCCACGGGCTGCAAAATGAGATTCTAAACGAAAAGCTTTGCGAACAGAGCTCACGGCGTTGGGCTGCGAAATGAACCCGGCACGCCTGCGATGCTTTGCAGCCCGCCGCCAGGCGCTGCCATTCCATGCAGGTTGAGCTGCAGCCTTTTGCCAACACTGCCACCCCCTGGCTCTTCATACGTATCCACGTTTTTCCCTCCCGGCGCCGCTGCGGGAGCTGCACTCAGCGCTCGCGGCCGGTGGGACGGGCTGGGATTGCAGCAGGGCTTGCGCAGCTCGCACGCCGCCATGCACTTCCTGCCGGTGGCTCCGCCGTGACTACGGCTCCCGGCAGCCCTTGCGCGGCACCCCGCTCCCGCCCCTCCCCTCCCCTCGCCGATTGGCCGATCCCTCCCGAAGCGCTCTCCCCTTTCCCGTTGGCTTGGCGAGCTGTCAATCACGGGGGGCGGTGTCGCTCGGGAGGGTAGTCCGGAGGAAGTATTCCCGAATTCGACTTACGCCGTTTGCGTGGCGCCGCGATCGCTGCCGGTGCCCGGGAGGCGGTGGCGCAGTTAGCGTGGCGCATGCGCGGTACCGCGCGGGGCGAGCGGCTGCGGGGGGTGCTGCTGAGCCCCGGACAGCTGAGGGGGTAAACAGGGCACGGGCCGGGGGGGGCACGGCCGAGGCTGTCCTTCAGGGCCCTCCCCGAGCCCGGAGCGCAGCGCTCGGAACCTGCGGGGCCCGTCGGGCCGCCCCTTAGCGTTCGGCCCCGCTCAGCGGGGGATGGAGCCTCACCACAACTTGCAGCGCCCGCTAGGCCCGCGGCCGGGAGGCCTGACAGGTAACGGCCCGGCCCCGCCCCCCCTCTGCCTTTATCCACCCCCCCCCCCGCTCCCCTCCTGTCACTGCCCCCCCGTATCGCTCTGTGCTGTCAGCAGCCCCTCCCCCGCCAGGCCCCGCTCCTGCCCTCAGCCCCCGGTTCCTGGCCTGCACCCGTCCCCCACCCGCCCCCCTCTGACCCACAGCCCTGTGCTCCCCCCCCCC